GGGCGCGGGTATATATATAACCTCGGTCCACCCTAAATCTACTCCACCCCTCCCCTCACCCTACCAACCTGTATTACGTAGTATCAACCTCACGTTTTGTAACACTATAACCTCTACAAAAACCATCGCTAACTGAGGATATTTCCGTAAACAGAGAGAGATAACAGATTAAGTAAGGAATGTGTTTTCTTATCAGTGGCTTCAGGTGACAGACGGTGAAGCAGACTAAATGAGAAACACAACTACCAATTCACAATACAGCGGTGCCGCCTCACGGGAGACGCCCTCAGACTTAACAAGGGCTGTTATTGCCGTGTTGCCTAGGAGTACCAAGTGTATATAACAAACTACATATTCAGACTCAGGTGATCAGTTTCCTATGAATAACAAGGGGCCAGTATGTCCTAATTAAGGCCCCAGGTATTACAGCAACAGTGTTTAGAAATAACATTGATTATGACTCGTTTAGGGAAGCTGGAGAAGTTGAACACAAGTATGGTGGTGAGGTTAAGGTTGTATAAACTGGAGAATTGAACAAAAGACTTGAAAATAATAGAAAAAAACAGGAGGAAATTCTGGGTTAAATCGCCATTTTGCAGCTATAGACAAATAATGCTCACATTTATATAAGCACTGTCTGTCTATATGCTGACAAAGGCTATGACATCACAAACTTGTCACTACTCAGCTTGTACGCGAAAAACAGTAAAATAAAATGGCCACTAGCCGGGCACATGAAATAAAAAAACAGATGCATTATCCCCTCAATGTATAAACTACCCACCAAATTGTTTTCCATAAAATATTCGGACGGAGGGACGGACATACAGACAATCGGACGAAAACAATCCTATAGTGACCCACCGGTAGCTAAAAAATAAATAAATAAACAAATAAACAAATCCTCATATCCTCTGTAGGAAAAACACCACTGGTCAGTCGGTCAAGTCGAGCAGACATTGAGCTGACTAACGCAGAATCGACCATAAACCTGACTGGTAGACACTGGTGGTGATAATGGCAAGCTCTTAGTGAATGACAGGAGACACCACTTTTGTGACAGCTAATATAATCTCTCTTATCTTCATGAATTCTAGTCTTAGATAAGTAAGTCAAGTAAGGGTGAACGTTAGTCTGACTCACATATCTTGTATAACCGCAAACACCTAAACGAACCTAACCTAACCTATCCTCAATGTAACATTAGTGTGAAATAAACTGCGGGATGCCTAAAATCCACACAGTCCGTATGTATGGAGACCCAATTGTCCCAACCACAACCCTGTGTGTGTGTGTGTGTTTGTGTGTGTGTGTGTGTGTGTTTGTGTGTGTGTGTGTGTGTGTGTGTGATAGTGCCAAGGCTTCCTACATTGGAAGGGCTCCCCAAGACGGCTGGTCCACGTATACCCTGACGTACACACTACGTCCCGCTACATTACAATCATGAACTTGGATTTTTTCTCTCGTCAATGTTTTTTTTCATGAACTGTACACATGATTTTAGGTTCTCCCGTTTCATTTTTTGTACTTCCCCTCAAAGTATTTTTTTTAGTCCTTTCAACGTTATTTTTACTCGTGAGTCTATGATTCAGCCGTCCAGTAGCACTTTGTATTCTGATTACACGATCACTTTTTTTTTTTTCCTCTTCGCCACTGATCGGCTTGTTAGCCGCTTGGGCGATCGGTCACGTCTCTTTTCCTTTATATTCTTCACCAAAAGGTCGGCTCGCTAGCCGCCCGGGCGATCGGTCACGTCTCTGTCAAGCACTGTTGGCAAATACTGGGCATGCACCGGCTCCTGAATGTACCTGAACCCGCTCCAGTGTTGGTCAAGTCTTCTCTTGAAAGAGCTCACACTCGGTGCCGTCACAACACTCTCTGGTAGATTGTTCCAAGAGTTTACAACCCTCACTCCGAAAAAGTTTGCCCTCACGGTTTTCTGGACTTGCGGCTTCTTCAATCTTGAGCTGTGACTCATAGTACATCGCCTGACAGAGCTCCTTCCCTCTCAGAGCAACAGACACACAGACAGACAGACAGACATTGTACAGGGGTACCTAGTGACAGCACTAGGATCCCGCTTCCTCTATCAAGGAATAAACAATTGAAATTGAAATTGACAGACAGATAACTAATAAGACACGCAACGGCCCCCTCAAACCTCTTATGATCTGTGTTGTAACATTACCCGCCCTTAACATGCTCAATAGTCTCATAATACACCGCGGTAAACAACAGCGGGAGTCAATTTCATAATGTTATGAACCAAGATGTATTACCACCACCTATGCCAGGGGATTGTAAGCAGGTGGAGTGCAGTGTGTGACATGCACCACACCCTGAAAGGAATATAAGAAATATAATAATAATAATAACAATAATAATAATAATAATAATAATAGTAAATCAAGGGTAAAGCGGCCACTCAGCTAATATACCTGTATACCGCACTGACGGTTGACTAAAACACTCCCAGGACACGTCAGTAACAGAGGCCACACACACTGCGTCCTTCAAAAACATATCTTAACACATATATCATCATACATTATCACTTATAGATACAATATCTTTTGAAAAAAGAAAGAAAGATGCGCGTGTCCCTCCACCCTCCTCCCCTCCCCATCAAAGTCAATATAGAGAGGTTGGCCGGCGCGCAGGTGAGGTCCGAGGAGGCGGGAGTGTTGACGTCAGGTGATCCACTCTGCCTGCGTCTCCTTGTAATTGACAAGTTGTCCCCAATCTTATCGGACCATTTATGTGTACACAATTTTATTGGCACACCCATATAAATGATAAAGAAATTTTATTAAAATTGAGATAAAGAGTTAACTGTGTTCTCATATAGCATTTTCCACTCATGATAAAAGATAATTCACAGTAAGCAGAATTATGCCTTCTCTATGCTGTCACTCATGAAGACAAAGTCTGACACTTTTAGTCCACTTGAAAAGTTAGCTGCGATATCATAAGATGAAATGGCCATTGCGAGTGAATGGAGTTATGACAAAGGTAAGGATATCCTTTATAAACCTCATGAGAAAGTCCAGGTTGTCATGCTAAGCGGACTGGTAGGCAACTGGAAGCAACCAATTTTTTATGACTTTGAGGTCCCATATATACAAAAGATCTTGTTAACTTTAATAGAGGAGCTTGAGCATGCAGGTTACCCTGTCGTTGCAATGGTGCACGACTTAGGGTCCAGTAACCTTTGGATGTGGAAAGAATTTGACATTGATCCCGTGGAAAAAAGAAAAGAAAATATCTTTCAAAAACCCGACTGCTGATCGGGATATATTTGTGTTTGCAGACGGGCCACATTTGATTAAATTAATTAGGAATAATTTTCTCGATTCAGGATAATACCTAAAGGATGGAAGCCTTATAACTGATTCCTTTATTCGGGAAATGATGACAGCAAGTAAGACAGAGTATGGTTTAGCATACAAACTAAGAGAAATGCATATAAATGTATGGGGTCAGCAACGACAGCGGGTTAAATATGCAGTCTAGTTGTCAAAAAATTGCTCTAGCTCACTGAAATATCTTGGAGAAAGAGGACCACTGGAGAGTAGAAATTGGATGGAAACTGCTGACTTCATAAATCTGGTGGACGAATGGTTTGATATTAATAATTCTTCTCATAGGTTTGGTGAAAAACAATCACTTAATGTATTTGGAATTAATTTATGTAACCAAGTAAATGTTCTGCATAGAATGATTGAAGTGGTGACAACAATGAGGGTAAAAAACCCATAAGTCTGAGAAAGGGGTAATGTTATCATCTCGGTCACTTATAGGGTTGTACAAAACGCTCCAGAAGTCTTTTAATCTTGAAATCATTCTAACTAGAAAACTAAATCAAGATTGTCTGGAGCATTTGCTTGGGTGCATAAGACAGTTGCATGGAACCAACGACCAACCAAATGCTGTGAATTTTAAGTTCAGGCTCAAGAAGTTACTCCTGGGAAAAGACGTTTCACTAATTTCTGAGAAATCTGACACAACTAATGATAATTTTGACTGCTTGCCAAGAAATATTGGTCTTAGACAGAGAACTGGCAGTAGAACTCTATGTAACTAATCAGTGTTTCAAAGACTTGGATATTAGCAATGTAGTATAAAAAAAGTTAAGTGATGAGTTTAATGAAAACCTAGGAGAGTGTATAAACCCTGACAAAAATGCAGGTAAAGCAATAGATTTAGTCATAGAAGAGGACGCTCTTAGGTACGTTGGTGGCTATATTGTAAGAATGTTGTGCGTGAAATACACTTCACTTCGGCCAGAAAGTCACTGAGTGCACATCCATGACCAAAACATGGACAGAAGAAATAAACAAAGGTGAACTGTATGTTCCTTCTGACACTCTATTAACCACTATGAGTGACGTATTTAAGTCTGTACATGTATATGTAACTGTATATTTTCAGCCTTCTGGCTGCCAAGCTCTTTCAATAAATCGTTAATTATTATTATTATTATTATTATTATTATTATTATTATTATTATTATTATTATTATTATTAAGGAGGGGAAAGACTGTTTCAAAAAAGCTGTGTCTGAGATAGAGAGTTGGTGTACCCCATGATGCTTTATCCTTCTGTGACAACATATCTGTGTTCTTTAAACTGAACAGTAGTATTACGATAAATAAGGAAACAAGTAAGAATTGCAGAAATGAAAATAAAAAAAAATTATGAAAATATAAAAATGATAGTAGGAACAACAGATTGTCTTGGGTTACAGTTGATGTAAATCATATATGTTATTTATTTATAACTTTTGTGTGTAAATAATATAATTTATCATGATATATTTATTCACCCTTTTAGATACATTCACACTAATACGGAAACATTTCAGAGGAGGAAGTTATGAACCCAAGTGCACAGATAAATTGCACTGAAATAAACGTATGAATTTCAAGAAATTAGTAAAAATATTCAAATAACGCCAGCTGTCCTTTCCTCCATAATGAAGGGACGAGAGTGGCCAGACC